CACCAATTTGGATCGCTTGTTGTTCCCTTGTCCCTGTGTTTGTTATCCCCTCTTCTAACCTTTCTGATAATACTGATCTAATGACTTCAGGAAAATCATGCTTAGAGTCTTAGATTTTGTCTTTCCTTGCAAAGGGGAGCTCATCCTAGAATCTCAGAACTGAAGGCTGAGCTAACATTCATTGACTTTATTGTAATGCAAGGAAATATGCTAAGCACTTTACTTAGATTATGACATTTCTTCCTCCCAACAATCTTTTGAAATGAAAATTACTGATACTCAACAGATAAAGACACAAAAGTTGAATTATCAAAGGGTAACACTGATAGTATATGATGACTTAAGTGTTATGGAGCCTTGCACTTAACTATATAAATATATCGCTTCAATGGAGTCATTGCATCACATGATTTTACATTCAGCAACATGCTTTTATTTTAACCTATGGTATCCAATGAATGCTTGGCTAGATTGTCATTTTTTCTACTATGTTTTGCACACTCATGAGAACTTTCTGATTAAAATAAATTGAGAACAGGATCTTACTACTATTACTCTTGTACCCCCTCTTCCTTTTTCTCCTGCTACCACTAGTAGTGTTATTGCTATTAGGTAGCAGCTATTGATGTCTCTTTATGTGGTGCCAGTCACTGCTAGGTGCCTAGAGTCAGCTCCAAATTCATAATGACCCTAAGTACAAAAAACAACAAACACAAAGCACTACACAGTCCTCCCCCTGCACCCTTCTCATAAGCATTGCCATATTTGAGACCCTTATTGAAATCAACTTGTCAACCCATCTCATTGATGCTCTTGTTTTTGGTTTTGGATTTTAATGGCTGACCCTCTATTTCACCAAGTGCAAACATAATTTCTTTTAGAAAGATCAGTAAAAAGCTGGTTCCAGTGAGGTAGAGATTAACACCTTCCCAATGTCCAACTTTTCCAAAATGCTTTGCCACTTCATCATCCCTGATATCAAACACCACTCCTCCTTTTAGTATTTTCTTTCTTGGTCCGGAGTTCTGAAATTCACTGCAATGCCTCACAGAATTCAAGAACCACCAAGGATATGACTCAGATGGGTATGGAGGCTAGTAAGGACCAAATTTGTAAATCAGATATCCCTCTGGAGGTGTATCTTCATCCACATCAAATTGGGTTGAGGATGACTCACAAGCCTGTGGGAATTGGTGAATCCAGGCAGGAGATAGGCTGCAAATTTAATAATCAGGAAACAGAAATCAGGCAGAGGCAAGCCAGGTGCAGGATCCTGAGAAGAGTGAACTTTGTGAAAATTGCTCAGTGTGGCTACAGAGATGCAAAACTTCTGAAAATTGTGGTTTGCTTAGTCAAACAAAAGAACTGCACAATAACTCAGGGATGGTAACCAGAATTTGCCTGATGTTTATCACCAAGTGATGCAGGACTCTTCTTTTGTGCTTGCACAGTCAGGAAGCAGAGAGGACACAAAGATTGTGTCTTGCCCACATCCAGCACTTTGATGAAGGTGCTTTTGTAACTTCTGGTGTTAAAAAGCTAGGCATAGGACACGCCCATCCCTTCTGTGCATGTTAGATGAGCCAAAGCTAATCTCAACCCAATTCCCTGATTCCAGCTTCCTGTTTCCCAATTTACTGAAGTAGTCTATTGGTGGTTTATCTCTTAATGGAACAGCTTCAAGGAGGCAGTTAGTTCTCCTCTAGGAGGGGTAGTGGTTACTCATTGGACTACTCACCACAAGGTAAGCAGTTCAAAAACACCAGCTGATCACAGCAGAAGGAGGCTTTCGAACCCCTAAATAAGCAGCCAGTCTTGGAGATCCCCAGGGGCAGTAGAACCTTGTCTTATAGATTTCATTAATATAACATTTAACTCACTCCAAAAGGGGATTGTAAAAAAGGTACAGAGGCTAGGATTAGCAAAATGGAGGACTATAGCTAACAGGGCCATATTCATTAATTAACTATACCACACCAAGAAAAATTGACTTCTTCAAAGTACATGAACTAAAGTACCATCAGCCTACCATTCGGAGGAGCATTCTGTAATTCTTCCAAGACAGATGTCCTCATTGGTCTAGAATTCCATGGATTATTCAATATTCTTTGCTAATGCCGTCATCCACATGCATGAATTACTCCAGTCCTCTTCAGCAAATCAGAGGACCGGCGACTGCCACGGCATCCCTCAGTGTTCACGGCGACTGTTTTCTGTCGTCACACTTTAAAGATGTCTTCTGAAGCAGATCTCTCAAATTAATGTTTGGAGTGCTGCATTCATGGCCTTGATGGTGGTTCTAAATTCAGTCAAATTCTTGACAACCAGTTGCTACTTTATATTTCATTCTCCCAATAAGTGTTTTATTAAATATTGATTTCACAGCTGAGGAATCCAAATTTTAGAAAAATAAATTAAACTGGATTCTCTGAGATATTTCAGCTGATAAATATTGGAGCTGGGATGTATTATATTAAAATTAGTTCTCAGTTCTGGAAAATATTAATATTTATGAATATTTTCTTCATCAAATGTCCATTATTCCTCCTGAGAAACTCGTTCCCTCTTCATTTTCCTGAAATTTATTTATTCCTTTTTTTAATCCACTTACTATTATTAATTATATTTCCTTTTTTGATTGACAAAATCATGACTTCCTCAAGGGTTAGATCCACATTAATTTGTATTTCAAGTGCTATCTCTCAATTAATTGATTCAATTTAAGGATATTAAATTAACTATACCATTTGAATATCATAAATATATCCTCTCACTATTGT